GCAACGTCGATACATCGGCGATACATCGGCGATGCGGCGCGACCCCATCCATCTACTCGGGCCCCATCTAAGTTAGGCCTGGAGCGCGCATCCCCGAGAGTCCGTGCTCATGCCGTTTTTGCCTTCGCCGAGCTCGGCCAACGAGATCGCTGCCGCCGCTCGCCTGCGCCGGCCCCAACCGCTCGAACCGCTCGTCGCGTTCCCTGGGGGAGGCACGGCGGGAGGAGCAGGCGGCCGCCGGCCGCGCCGGCTGCCGCCAGGCAGCGGCGGGCAGCGCGGTGCCAGGCCCGCGCGGCCTGGTGCGGGGGCCACAGGGCGGCGGCGCGCCAGGGGGGAAGTCGAAGGTTGCAACACCGTCCACCTCCTCCCCCTCCTCCTCCTCCTCCTCCTCCTCAACCCCTTTCCTCCTCGTCTCTCCTCATCCCCCTCCTCCTCCTCCTTCTACTCCTCCTCCTCCCTCCTCCTTTTCCTCCTGCTCCTCCTCCTCCTCCTGCTCCTCCTCCTCCATTCCGAGGCCGGTCGGAAGGGCGGGTTGGGCGTTTCGACTGAGACGTCCTTACCATTTACGAGCCTGAAACTTAAAAACTGGCAGAGGTTTAACAATTTTACGGCGGCCCGCTTCCAAAAATGAGACTCTCGCCTGAGCGCCGCGCACATCCATTTTCAAACTTTGGAAAAAAAACAAAAACTGCACGGATGGAGGGTGGGTCGTTTTCAAGATGTGGCTCTCGCCCTAGCGCCGCGCACTCGTCTTAAAACTGATTGAGGGGGGTAATGTTCAAAATGCGGCACTCGCCTCAGCGCCGCGTGCATTCCTTCTAAACATTTGCAAACAACTTCACGGATTGAGTGCAGGTCGTTTGCAGACTGTGACTCTCGCCTTAGCGCCGCGCGCGCTCCTCTAAAACTTTGCAAGCATCGGGCGGGTAATTATCAAAATGCGGCTCTCGCCGTAGCGCCGCACACATTCGTTCAAACAGTTGCAACCGCTTAGCGGATTCTCATGGCTGGCCTTCTAGAAACTGCGTTTTTGAGCGACTCAGGAGTGTCAGGGCGCAGCCATCACGTCGATTCGCGGTGTTGAAGTCCCAGGAAGGGTGTTCTGATCGATTGAGGACCGCCAAGACGCAATAATCAGGTTGACTCGTGGCGTTGCAGTCCTACGAATGCTATTTTGGCACGCTTCAGGATTTTCACACCGTTCTCCCAACGGGGCACGTCCCTGTGGAAGTGAATCCTTGTATGCCAACATTGTTGATGAGCCTTGGGTTTCACACTGGTCCTCACTCCTCCTCCTGGCTCTCGGATCCTAGTGGCATTGATGTCTTCAGATGTTCCCCCACGTCCTCCGCCTCCTCCTCCTCCTCCTCCTCTTCCTCCTCCTCCTCCTCCTACTCCCTCCTCCCTCCTCCCCTCCCTCCCTCCCTCCCTCCTCCCTCCATCATCCATCCATCCATCCATCCCCCCCGCCCTCCCTCCCTCCCCCCTTTTCCTCCTCCTCCTCCTCCTCCCTCCCTCCTCCTCCTCCTCCTTGTCCTCCTTTTCCTCCTCCTCCTCCTCCTCCTTCTCCTCCTCCTTCTCCTCCCTCCTCCTCCTCCCTCCTCCCTCCTCCCTCCTCAGCTGCCGTCCCGGTTCGAAGCTTTGGGAGCTGCTACCAGGTAGCAGCGAGCCTCCCGGGACCGACAGTCACACGCGCTGGCCCGCGCCGCCATACTCCGCGGGCTGGCCGTGCACGCCTGGCACGCACACAGCGCCAAGACGGTTCGCGGGAACCGACAGCAATCAAAACCAGCCTGGCACCGACGGGCCAGAGAGCAGCGTTCGGCAGCACGAGCGCTCCTCCGCATAGAGAGCGCCAGGCGCCTCCTAGACGCCCACCACAGCAGCATGGCGCCCTGGCACGAGTCTTGGTACTGCTCGCGGTGTGGTTCCAAGCAAAAAGCGACCGCCAGCTGGTGCACATTGGATGCTCGTTCTGGGGACCTTCCTGGAGCCACTCGCTCCGCTCGTGCGTCGAAGCTGCGTCGAACGTCAGTCGAGTCGGGTCGACCCTGAGTCGAACCTGAGTCGAACCTGAGTCGACTTGAGTCGAACCTGAGTCGAACTTGAGTCGAACTTGAGTCGAACGTGAGTCGAACTGGGGTCGAACAGATCCGTTAGGTGGGCTCCAGGAAGGTCCCCGAAACGAGTATCGAATGCACAGTCTGCTGGCCGAGGAGCGCTCGACGCACACGGTCGGCCTCTCGGTCCCGCCCTTCCGCTCCCGAGTCCGAGGCGCCCTCCGCCAACGACTCGCCGACGCCAGCGGAGGTCAGGCCGACCCCCGCGCGTCGCCACCTACGAGGAGGCCAGGCAGCACGAGCTGTGGGTGGAGCCGCCGACGGAGCACGTCGCGACGGAAGCCCACCGCAAGAAGCTGAAGGACGCCATCGCAGCAGTCGAGGAGTCGCGGAAGGCCCGTCGGGCGCTCGGCGTGACACAGGACCAGCTCAACGACATGTGCTCGGAGCTGGCTGTCCTGAATTTCATGCACATCTACCCCTACAAGACCAAGGACCGCATCGCCAACCAGAAGGCATACATCGCAAGGGCCACTCGCCGCCTCGAGGAGGCGCAGCATGCAGAACGCGATGCGGAAGTTCGTCTACTGGCAGCACAGCGACAGCGAAAGGCCACATCCACG